GTTCCAGAAACTACATTCTAATTCGAAAAAACATCGAGAAGAACGAATTGTAAATGGGTAGCCGTTTGTGAGTATGAGTGCCGCGAATTTAATCAATTCTTAAACCGATTGCTACTGTTGAGCCAAGTTCAACAAAATCATATACATTAAAAAGCGTCAAACACGAACCTTATTCATTCGTATCGCTTATTTGAATAAAAATGTTCTTTCGATGATAGTTTTTCTAAATTCGAGACGTATCGCGGTAAGTACGCCGCTAAAGAGTTTGTTTCTCACATAGAAAATGATTTAAGTAGTATTTACAACATATATCTAAAAAGATTTTAAGAAGATGATCCCATTGAGCAATAAAGAAAAACTTGAGTTTATTAACACAAAAAGGCATGGTTTATATGCTGAAGAGATTATTTGATATCAAGGAGCAAAAACGTTAGGGACCACTGCCATCTCACCGGAAAATACAGAGGAGCAGCTCACGGAACCTGTAATATAAATTTTAAAATTACCCAACTTTGTACCCATTGTCTTTCACAATTTAAGCGGCTACGATTCTCATATGTTCATTAAGGAATTATGTCGTCATGGAGACAAAATTGATATTATTGCCCAGAGTAAAGAAAAGTATGTCTCGTTTACAAAAAGCATTTACGGGTTGAACATTATGTAGGTAGATAAGGGTGAGGTAAAAAAAAATATTTAAAATTGAGGTTTATAGACTAGTTTTTAAAATTTTTATCTACTCTCTTCAAATTTTGGAAATGGTTTATCAATTGAAAACTTTAAGAAAACAAAAAAGCATTTTCCGGAGAAAAAAAAATTTGACCTAATGCGTCAAAAAAGTGTATTTCCGTATAACAGGTATGATTATGATAGTTTGAAGAAAATGAATAACCGTTCACTTCCTACTAAACATGAATTTTACGATGATTTAAATAACGAACATATTAGCGATGTGGACTATCAAAGAGCAAAGGATGTCTGGCGCTTATTCAATTGCAAATCTCTAGGGGATTATTCGGATTTATACTTAAAATCGGATACCCTTCTTGCTGTGCGCATGTTTTCGAAAATATTTTTCGCGATCAAGTTTAAAAATACAAGTACGAATTGGTATCCACTTACTACTCTAATAGTAACCGCTCAGCTTGTCATTTGACTCCAATTGCTCAGCCGCATGACCAAGGTAGAGTTAATGCCTAACGGGATATGATATTGCTAATTCAACCTGTTTGTCATAAAAAGCGGTAGATTCCGCTGGTGGGTGTAAGGTGTTCGAAAGAAAACAATAGCGAAATAATAAGTTTTCTTCCAAATTATAATCCTTCAGAACCTTCATCATTTATTTTTTAAGACGCGAACAAATTTAATATATGATATAGTGATGGTCTCTCAATCGTACCATTAAGAGATATCCGTTGGTTAACAGAACGTGAAATAATAGATTTAGACATAATGAATGCTGAAGACGATAGTAAATACAGTTACGTTTTTGGAAGTTTGATAACTTAATCCTAAGCACTTGCACGATAAACATTCAGATCTTCCGTTCTTAGTTGAAAATATAGTGCCACCTACGGAAACTCAAAAAATTAACAACTAATTCCGAATTTAAACGATAAATGTAAAAATATATTGTTTCAATTATCAAACACTCAAACAAGACATAAAAAATGATCTGATAGTAACAGAAATTCATAGGATATTAAAATTCCAGCATCCAGATGGTCTCACAGAAGAAATATAGTCGATTTTAATAACAGAAATCCTAAAGGAATAAACTAGAAAACGCTAAATTTAAAAAAGACTTATTTAAACATATATATAATGCCGTTTGGAAAAACCATGGAATGTTGAAAAAATCGTAAAGATAATTAAATTAGTACTTCATTGGGAAAATAATAAAGGTAAACTATTAGGAGCCCAGGCTTTGATTGCTCGTCCAAATTTAAAAACCAGCTCAATTTTTACTGAATTATTTAGTCGAATTCATATAGGGTAGAGGCTGAAACATACTTATACTTTCAACAGCAGGTCTGATCGTGGGGTAAACGGGTGCGCATGATAAACCTATATTTACGGGATTTTCAATATTGGATATGTCTAACGTGTGTAATTTATGAATTTTTTCTATAATTTTATCTAAAAAACACGCTCTCTCGCGCGCTGACGCTTCTGCTATTGTAACACTGACACGGATATCATTGATAGTTCGATAACAAATATATACGGAGAAATTTTTACCAGATATTGTTGAAAACCCAACAAAATTTGATACATCAAATTATGCATTTAATAACAATAAACATTAATAGCAAAGAGCGAATACGATATTAGGGATATGTAGAATGAAATATGAATTTCCATCTGATCCAATAAAATGCTTCTATGGCAAAGGTGCCAAAGCTTATTATGTGGCCTCAGTCAACACTGAAATAAAAAACGGCAAAAAGGTGTAAAAAACCAATAATCGCAAAAAGATTTAACTGTAGAGCACGATTATAAAAGAGTACGGTAAGAACGTGGTGGTCTTATTATTTCGTAAAATGAAAATATGAGAGAAGAGAGTGCACGACGTTTACACGATGATAACCAACCGAGTGGCTCTTAATTCTAGAGATGACAAAAGATATCTAATTCCTACGACAACAAAAACTCTACCTTGGGGCATACAGATATTGAGATTTATAAAACAGATCCCGATAGCTAATGTTAAGATATATTTTATATATCGCCGAACTAGATTCTTCGAGATGAAATAGATGAAGCGTTTTAGTTGACAAGAAGTTATCTGTAGATAGTAGTTCTCTCACTTGTGAAATAGATATGTAAATGTTATAACTGTGTCCTATGTGTTACATTTGTGCTTTGTAATATGTTTAATATTTTTATGTATTTTCTTTTTTGTTACATGTTTTAGAAAAGCTTATTTAACTGTGATTTATCTTTTATATTAGTAAATTTAAAAAAAAATATTTTTGTTTCCAAAAAAAAAAATTTTCTTTTATGAGAGAGAGATTAAGATAATTCCTACTAAAAGTTAAAAAAAAAAAAAAAAAAAAAAAAAAAAAAAAAATATTTAAACTAAACACTTAATAAAGCTACCAAACATGAACTGAGAACACTGCATTTTATAGTGCTTAAGGGATAAGAAAATTAGAAAGAAGAAAAATAGTTGGGCAGTCTGTACAGCTGCAGACAAATATAACTTATTCTTAAGTCAGCAATAATTTCAAATAGCAATTTAAAAGAAAAAATGCACATTTTCTTAGAAGCTATTCATTTTTCAAGTCAAAAACTCTGAACATATATTAGTGTGTTTAGGTCATTAAAAAAAAAACAATTTTTTTTTTAATCTAAAAAAAAGAATAGCATTGTGACCCAACAACTCATTTTAGCTACTCCTTTTAACTACTCATTTTAAAGAAAAAAAATGAGATTTTTTTTTTTTTTTTTTTTTTTTTTTTTTTTTTTAATTTTATATCAAGTTAGAGGAATTTATTGTGTGTGTATCATATGATCTAAAATAAAGAAATGTATTAATAATATTTATTTAATTTAAGAAAAAACATAAATTATATTATTAAAATAAACTATCAAATATATACGATAGCACTGCGGGTATTAAAAGGAGAGCGTGTCTTTTGAGCGTTCACGCTCTTCAAAATATTTTTCTCTGTTTTTTATTGAGTCCTTGAGGTGTAGGTAGTATTATAGGATTCACCCTATAATACTCCTCTGGGCAGTATCCCTGCCATGGTTCGTCCCACGATAAATCGGATGGTGGGACCGTCTCATCCAGCTGATCCCAGGATATATCGTATGGTATTGGTGGAGGCGTCGTATCGACTGGTTTTGGCGGAACCGTCTCCCATGGTTCGTCCCATGATATGTCGGCTGGTATTGGTGGAGGCGTCATCTCGGCTGGTTTTGGTGGAACTATCTCCCATGGTTCGTCCCAGGATACATCAGCTGGTATTAACGGAGGCGACATATCGGTTGGTTTTATTGAAACCGTCTCCCATGGTTCGTCCCAGGATACATCAGCTGGTATTGATGGAGGCATCATATCGGCTGGTTTTGGTGGAGCCGTCTCCCATGGTTCATCCCAGGATATGTCAGCTGGCGGTGGTGTTGGGGTTTTTACTGTTTCACACAAAGTACCATATGTTAACTTGTAAGAACATGGACAGTTTGATATTTTAGTATAAACTAGTATCGGCATAAGTGACAGTATTTGATAGAATACAACACAGATTTGAGCTTTAAGTAGAAGTAAACCCCACCATGATTTTAACTCCTCCTACTATCTTTAACTCCGCCCACTATTTTGTTAATAGCTCCCTACTGCAACTAGTTTCAATATTCCAATGTCGAGAACATTTAAATGGCAACAAAGTTACATCTTAATATCGAGAGTTTGTGTGCGTTCAGGGGACACAGCGGCTGACCGGTCGCTGAAACTTTTGCTAAGCGGCTGACTGTTTTTTTTGTGTGTAAAAGAGACCACTTTACGCAGACGCTAACCGTCACCAATGAACGCGGCCTTTATGATTTGATGTAAAGACTTTTTAAGGTTTAAAGTATATAGACCGGTACATGTGTAAGATACCAACGCTGGGTTTAAATGTAACTTTACCTGAACATATTGAAGAATAAATATTCAAAAGCCGGGCATGCATCAGGTATAGGGAGAGTTTGTAGTGGGGTGTTTGTGTATAAAAAGTAGCTCAAAGTTATTAAAATTCATTAGTTTTCCTAGCGAGAAATACGCAGACTTATAATGGCAAATATAGATTTGTGATGATATCGATTTCCAACTTGAGAGTGAAGAGTTGACTCGCAGATGCATATTTGAAAAGTGGTGAAGAGGGAAGAAGAAAAACAAAAGTGAATATTATATCAATTATTCAGGTGGTTCAGCCTAAACCATCTCCAGTAGGGGGTAAAAACAAACAATCCGGATCAAAGTTGAAAAACATACTGAAGGGGAGACACCTTATATGAGAAAAAGTGGTGGTGAAAAACGTAATACTAAGTGTAATAAGGAAAAACAAGAACAGCAACCTCACAACGAGCTGCTCCAACAATTGCAGCAAGAGTCGCAACCGGTTCAACACCCACAGCAGCAGCAGCATCAGCAAGAAGAGCAGACTTTCGACGACTACTTGAGTTAGGAAGAGCGAAACCTGTTCGCACAAGTGGTGCGAATAAAAGAACAGTTCTTGGACGAATTCAAGCAAATTGAATTGAGTGTAGTGGAAGCGCGAGAAACGCTTGCACTACAACAACTGGTACTTCAGATTAGGGAGGAGCGTCTAAAAAAGTGTGAACATATAATGGGATATAATTTAAGTCTCTTAGAAATAATTATTGTATTGGTTAAGACAGGAAGATTGTAATTATATGTATTTTTTTTTCAAATTGGTTAAAATAAAGGCTATTTACAATAATTATTCGTGATTATTTTTTTTTTTATTAGAACAAAAGTAAATACAAATAATACACTTATAGATCATTAGTGGGTTCAGGGTAAGAACTAGACGAAGGAAGAATGAGATGTTGCCATAGGCTTGAAAAAATCCTAGTTATTCTATAATACTGCATAGTATACGCAGAGGGTGTAACAGTAGGGAGATGGGCTATAATATAGAGTTCCTCATACGTTATTGCATTAGCCTTCAGATACTTGCCCTGAAGGAGATAAAAAACATTAAATTGGTGAGGAAATATTAAAAATTGGCCTTCCGGACTGGCGAAGCACTCCGAATACAAGCTGATCCGTATGATTAGAATATATATAGATAACGAAGAAGTGGAGACAATAGGCGGAAATATCAAGAAAATGAAGAACAATCAAGAATATCGCAGAAACAGCATTCGACCGGCTCAGCTCTACCAAATTTAAAGCGAATGTTGGTGATGGATGAAACTAATACTGAGAGGAGAAGAAAGAAAACAGTATCTTCATCATCATCAACAACAATTGCTACATTGTCGGGGTCTTTATCACATCGTGTCGCACCATCACCTGTGGAGAAGCTTGGTTTGGCGCAACACATCCAGATATGGATGAAATCCTATAGAAAAAATCAAGAGGATGGTGCAGCCGCGGTGGCAAAGGCTGAAGCGGCAGTGAAAAAGGCAGAGGAAGCCCTAAAGCGAGCCAAATTGGAGCTTGATGCTCAAAAAAAAAATGCAGCATCCAAAAATTCAAAAACCATTATAAAGCGGGAATGTTTATTGAAAATTAATATTTTTTTTATGTATAAGTGTATTTTAGTATTTTTTTTTTGTTTGCAATAATATATATTTTTTTGTTATTAGTATGTGTATGTTTGTATAATAGTATTGTAATAGTGTAATAGTATTTGTATAGTTAATAAATTTAATAAATTAAAAATTTTAACATTTTTTTGCTTGTATATAGTTAAATTATAAAAAGAATAATCTGAGAACAATCTTACTTAATAAATAAATAAAAATCTAGTGTACCCCCATATCATAATATTAGTTTAATTTATTTTTTATGAAGAATATATTCTTAGATAGAAATAAAGAAATACTTTTTAACTTGTATATAGTTAAAAATTATAAAATAAATAATCATTTTTTTTTTTTTTTATTTATAAAAAAATCTTAGAACCCATATATACTTAGTTTTTTAATTTATTTTATGAGATATATTCTAAAGATAACATATAAAGAAAATACTTTTTTCTTGTATAATATTAAAAATTAATAAAATAAAATAATCTTAGAACAATTTTATTATAAATAAAATAAAAATCTTATTTTTTTTTTTTTTTTTATTTAGTTTAATTTAATTATTATGAGATAAATTCTTATACATATAAATAAGAAAATGACTTTTTTCGTGTGTATATAGTTAAACATATTAAAATAGAGAATCTAGAACAATCTATATTATAAATAAAAAAATCTTAGACCCACATATATTAATTAAATATTGATTTAAAATATTATCGAGTATTTCTATATATATTTTTTTCTTTTTATATATTATAATTATATTTCTTTTATATTTCTATAGATAAAAAAAGAAAATTACGTTGGATTTTACTTTTGCAAAAGAAAGCCTAACAATAATAAACAAGTAAATCGAAATAACACCACCCTTACTCGGGTTAACACGGGGATTGAGACCATATACAGGCAGAAAGGCAAAAATCAAATCTATTAGCGTCGTATAAGGCGTATAAGTAGCGTAGTTAAAATTTCTTGGAACGTCTAAACCTGAAAACACCTGCCCGATTCCTTATGTTGTAAATTGATTGATTTGACGTTCGCACGCCAAATTTTGAACAAATCAGTAGCTTAGTATCTTTAGTACCCAAACTTCCACATATCTACGCCGATGTTAAATATTCTTTTTGAAACTGAAACATCTGGCACACCTGAAAACGTACTCTGTTGGTAAAATGGGTCGATAATGAACCGAACCTTTTTTTTTTTTGGCTGACAATCCACCATCGCAAACACCTGCCCGACGGGTGGTCCTTCCCTGTTGTAAATTTGATTAACGTCGAAGTAAGCTTTGAACATTCAGTAGCTTAAGTACCATATTATCCACTTATCACATTCTCTTCGCACAGGTAACTATTTCTTTATTTGAAAACTGAAATACTGGCGCAACGGGTGGTTCTTATCTGTTTTGTAAAAAATGGGGTAGTCGAACGAAACCTTTTTTTTTTTTGAACCGACTAAATGAGAGTTTTCAAGGTAGAGTTGGTACGACCGCGGGCAATATTCCACCCCTTTGTAAACTGATGAGAGAAACCTGCCCGACGGGGTGGTCCTTCCCTGTTTTAAAATTGATTAACGTCGAAGTAAGCCTTGAACATTCAGTAGCTTAAGTACCATCTCATCCACTTATCACATTCTCTTCGCATAGGTAAATATTCTTTTGAAACTGAAACACCTGGCCAACGGGTGGTTCTTATCTGTTGTAAAATGGGACAATGTCGAACCGAACCTTTTGTTTTTTTTGACGCGACAATGACACGATTTTCGTGGGGTTTCAAAGCCTACTTGATCGTGAAAACTCTTTTTTTTATTAGTAAAAAAAAGCTGGTATAAATATACTAAATCTCATTAAGGACTAAAATATAACCTAAAATTATTATCGCGCATGTTTGTTAATGATTTTTCGGGAAAATATTACCGGCAACAGCTGATCGGGGAAAATAAATAAGCTCAAGAGCACATTCTTTGGAGGATCATAACCATCATGATCAGATTCCCTCTTCGTTGGTATCAGTCTGAGAAACTGAAAGAGTGCGCACGCGCCACTAAGAGTCACCCGATCGGAATTCTCGGAAGAAAGCCGAAATTTTTTGGAGGAAGGTCAACGCATCGAGATTGACTTGGAAGAATACAATCAAGAAACCGATTCGGAGGAGGACACTTTACCTGATTCCTCAAGTTGGTGGGCTCCATGTCAACCACCGGACGTATTAGCTGGACCAGCTGACAGCTCTTGGATGTGGGTTCCAGAAATCGTTGATGATGATGATGAGAGGAGAAGCAGACTCTCACTACACCATAAATAATCGTCGATCCACTAGATATAATAAATTCGGTTCTTTTTAGAACCCACAATAAGAATTTAAAAAAAGATAAAACCAATGTAATTTATAATATTATTTATTGTTAATAAAACTTTTTACTAGACACTAGATCGATAATTAAATACAAACTTAAAGTTAAAAAACGGTTTATTCGACAGGCCGAACTATTTAATGATATCATATAAAAAAATTATCGTGTAAACAGTAAACCATTAAAGTGTAAAAGACACCTTGGTCGATACTCGGAACAATGTGAAATCAATGTTATAATTAAAATAGACAAATTATATGCACTATTAAAACATTGATTTTTTTTTTTTTGTTTTGTCAAAAAAATTATTCCCTGTAACGATTAGAATACAGATTGGTTTGACACCGAACCAATTAAATATATAATTAATTAATTGAGTCATGTATTATTAAGGCGTATACTTTTGTGTCTTTTGGAATTTTGCTATCTCGTGTTTGGAACTCGATTTTCACATCTACGGTTGAAGATTTCACATTCTATGTCTGGTGAACGCAATCGACTAGGAATACCGGATTTTTTGTGTATTCGCCGAAATGCATCATAGGATCATTAAATTCGCGTCCATAATAGCTTCTTTGGAAATTTACATAATTGTAATAGGCTGCAGCGTACAGTTTTTTTGTAAAATCTAGGTTCCATTCTCTCGTAAGGGGAAACAGTTGAGTTAAGATACACCTAATATCACTAACGTTGGCAGAAGTAAAATGGGTTGCGTTATTCTTAAAAATTTTCCGAATTATTATTAATCTTGAAATCCGATGATAATATAACGAGGTTTCTCCAAACTTGTGCTAGTTCTAATGGCCAAAACATCTGACGAAGTCTCTCTTAAAGAAGGCAGTTCGTAAAGGTCCCACGTTCGAAAAGTCATATGAATATTTGCACTAT